TAAGAAGTTGAGTTGGTCCAATTCCAATACCTGTAAACCAAGATTGAAAAATATTCTCTTTTCTCGGGCCTTCATAGGCCTCTTCTAGCCTAAAACATTTTAAAGAAAAATGGTCAAATTACCTAATCAGTCCAGAACATTTTAAAAAAATTAAACAAGTACTACATATGACCAAAATGTAAAAACACGCTAAACATAGATGGACTAAAAAGAAAATAATCCTAAAAATATATAGCATGCATAAAAATGGTTAACTATCATATTCAGTCCCTGCAGGTGACTGCAAAAACACGGCTAAACTAGGGGGACTAAACATCAAATAATCCTAAAAATATAAAACATGCACGAAAATGGGTAAATAGCAGGTTCGGTCCTTACATATGACCATTTTACAAAAACAAGCGCAAGTTAGGGGGACTTGAGTGCAATTTCCCCTAAAATTTTCTATAAATACAACTTTTTCCCTTTTTTAAAATTTCTTTCTTTTTTTTATTTTTTTTATTTCTAGAGTTCTCTCTAAAAAGTCGACCCCTCGTCAGTCATTTGGCCCTCATCGGCCACCGCCGGTGGCTGTTGGCTACCAAATTTCATCAGAAGACTCGCCTCGATCTCCTAATCTCATAAATGGGCTCGATTTTGCAAAAAAACAACCCCCAATGGCGTGAAATAGAGTTGAGACCCTTCGGCTTTCCCGGGCTCCGATCGCGCCGTCCGTTGTTGGATCAGGCCGATCTCGAGGTATGTTGTTCTCCTCCCTCATGCGCTCCTCCTCACCGTTCAGATTTGGCGATGGAGGCTCCGAACGCCGGTAAAGTGCATGGTCGAAGGTAAACTTCTACTTTTTTTTACTTTGTTATTGCTTAAAAAAGTGTTGTATTTCGAATAAAAAATAGAAAAGAAGTTGCTCTATTGGTTGAGATTAGATTCGGTGACAGTGAAGGTGGCGTGGAGTGTTGGTGTAGCATCAATTGGTATGTCAGGGATGGTGCAGGTGATTTTGGCAGGAGATTGATGCAGATGAAGGTGGCATGGGACTGGGCAATTGAGGAGGAGGCGGTAGAATGAGATTAGGGTTTGGAAACCCTAACTTGTTAGGTTCACATACACAGCCTCCATTGGGTTTTGGTTTTTGTTGGATTCCGAGTTTACTTTGTAATTGAGGCCCAATTTCAGGTTTTGTTATTGGCCTGCATTAAAAATAATAATATTAATAATACTAATAATAGTAATAATAATAATAATAATAATAATAATAATAATAATAATAATAATAATAGCAGGACGAAACGAATCTCTACGGTTATTCTTTCTTATTTGTTCGGAGGATGATGTCGTTGGATTGTAATTTGAGCGATTGCCATTTGTCACCCACTATTTAATTGTGCATTATTTTACATGTCTAGTCATAATTTTTGTTGTGTTTTCATCCATTAACCTGGTTTGATGGTTTATTTTTACAAATTCTAACAACATTTACTCTCAATTATTTTTTAAAAAATCATTTTAATCTTTAAACTTTTATTTCTTTTGACTTTCAATTTTTTTATCTTTATCAAATTAAATTAATTAATTAATTAAAATAATAGGCTTATTAAGCTGACATAATCATTTATTATTTTTCAATTTTATTTTTTTAATACTTTTACAATACTTTTTTACCATTTTTACATAATTTTATTTTGGGTAAACTACAAGTTTAAAACTTAAATTATCAGTTTTAGTTCATTTTAGTACATAAACTTTCATTTGTTTCAAAACCATACTTAATGTTTACTTTTTGTTTTGTCTTGATACATCGTCGTTAAAAACTTAGCGGAACTGTTACAACATGTCGCTTTTATGGTTAAATTACATCATTCATCACTCAACTATCTTCTCACTCTTATTTTGATTAGTGAAGTTTATTTTTTTAATTTAATTACTTAACTTTCAAATTACTCCTAATTTAATCACTCTAACTTTTAATTTTAATTTTTTCATTTAATTATATATTAATGAAATAACAAAAAATTGCATGTCACAAAAATTATTAAAAAATAAACTAGAGTGATTAAAACATGAGCAATTTGAAAGTATAGAAGTTAAATTGGAAAAATTTAAACTTTAGTGACCAAACTAGGAGTGAGAAGAAAGTTAAGTGATGGATGCTTTAATTTAGCCATAAAAAGTCACGTGCATCAGTTTCGTCAAGTTTTAACGAGTACTAAAATGAAACAAAAAGTAAACATTAAATATAATTTTAAAACAAATGAAAGTTTAGGTACTAAGACAAAACAAAACTGATAGTTTAAGTACTAAACTTGTAGTTTACCCTTTTATTTTTTAAAATACTTTTTTTCTCTAAATGGATAAAATATCTGACGAAAATATTGGTAAAAAGATTAAATAACTGCCCTTCTGTTACTTTTGTCAGTTAATTAAATTTAACAAAAAATTAAAAGTTTGTGGTCAAAACTCAAAAGAGACAAAAAGAACTAAGGGTTAAAATGATTTCTTTTAAGTTTGAGGACTAAAAATATCATTAAACATGTATTAAAAATTATATCAATTTTTATACATTAACATAATAAAATTAAAAAAATATTAATTAATTTTGAATTTAGACTGGATCAAGTCTAGACATGATAATGATTATTAATTAAAGAATACCCACAATAACGTTATACTATATATTTTGGCTAGTCCGAGGCAAATTCTTAGACTTGATTGTTAGCATTTGGTTTAATAAAAGTTTATTGATATGTACCATTTAAGGAGTACTATAATAGGTGATTTCAATTATATTTAGTTAAATATTAAAAATAATGTGTATGTGGTCCTAAATTTAATAATTTAAAATATAAATTATTTTTAATGTATTTTTATTAAATATTATAAATATGTATTTTTATTTAAAATATGTATTTTAAAACACATGTTTCCGGAACGGTTTGATGAGATTAGTACAGGTCTTTTGGATGATGCGTTTTAGTTTCTTTCTTATTTATTTTAAAAAAAAGAAATTAGATCATTAATAAAAAAATAATTAAATTATATGTGAATTTAAAACTTTTAAATAATACGACTATCTTCGATACCTCTAAGTTCATCTCTGATTGTAAATACATATCATATTTATGTTTTTTTAATATTATGTTTTACGTCATTATTAACCATGGGTTAATTTAGAGATTAGTTTGTCGATTAATATGATATTTCCTATATATTTTTAGTCCTAATATACTTTACGTAAATTGTTACAATAATTCCATTCTTAAATGTAATGTTTCTGTTATTTTTTATTTATATTTGTCACAATATTTATGTATTTTATCTGAATTTTGATATGTTTGAATTTATAATAAAATTTAGCTAATTTTTTTTTCTAATAATAAAATCATTATACCAATTATATATTAATATAAATAATATATGTAATTAAAACTTTAATTTAATTTAACAAGGTGTAATGAAGAATAATAATAATATAACGGATTTCAGGCGTAGGCCCAAGAATGATAAACCTTCTACATTGGGCTAAGAGTAATTTATACACGCTAAAATTATCTTGATCATAATTTTCGATTAACTAGGTTACTTTAAAATTAAATTTTCTTGCTATATAATATCAACATTTTAGGCTTAAAACACAAAATGATACTTGAATTTGACAAGTTTATTCAAATTAGCCCTTTTATCCGTAATTTATCAAGTTTAGGGTCAATTTGACCAGGAAAAAAAGGTCAATTTGACAAAGAAAAGGTACAGGTGTCTATTTGACCATACTTGCTAAGCTTAGAATGACTAAAAAAATATTGAAGGGTCAATTTGACCAAACTTATAAATTTAGGGGTTATTTTGTGTTTTAACTTTTATGCCAATATTTTACAACCTCATTTTAGAAAAATCTTCGTGTCTTTTTTAATTTTTATTATGCAAATAGTATCAGCTAGTTTTATTAAAGAAAAAAATTAAAAATTAATTAATTTAGTAAGATAAGACATTAGATTTTTTTAAATAAGGTCAAGAGTTTGATATCTAACCATTACGAATGGAGCAAACTGGATTGGGAGGATCGGATATAGATTAATCGATCAATAGATCGGATATAAAAAAAACTCGGATAAATTCGTTACTTGAAATTTCATTTGTGAAAAGAGAGGAAATAAAAGCAAATATGGCGGGAATCGGTACACCAAAAAGTATCCTCTCTTTTTTTCTAATCCACGACTTCGATTCGAAGAATTCGAGAGAAGGTGATCATTTCCTTACAGTTGCATGTATCATACATATGTTTCTCTTTGTTTCCTGAGAAAATGCAAAACATGAAAGAGAACAGGATTGAAGTTTCCGCGAATCATTTTCCCCCTCTTTTTTTGTTTTCCTACATTTTCTATGTAAAAATGAAGGGAGATTATTATTTGATATGGTTGGAGTGAATGAGTGTTGAGAGAAGAGTCGTTGGGTCAAAGAAGCAAATCGAAGAGCTTCAATCAGAGCTTAAAGGCTTCGAAATTGGATTTCCTTTGAAAAAAGCTTCAATTCGAGCGATATAGGTCGTTGTTTTTCGATTTATTTAAAAATTTTCGCTAATTTGTCTTTTTTTTTTTAATAATGGTATTGTTATTTGCAGGAGAGAGTTGCTCTGATTCAGTAAGAAATATCTTCAGTTAGATCTGAAATAAAGGAGCTTAAGGTACTAAAACCGACTTGTTTATATGATTTGCTGATCTGAATGAATCATGGATTACTTTTGGTTTTTAATTAAAAATATGTGTACAAAGAAGCAACAAAATATGAACAAAAATATTCTAATGATCATACCTTTAATGTTATCTCTTTCAAATCTCTTGCCATTCAGTGTAAGAGGTTTTATATATCTCAGTTCTTGCTCGCTGTTATATTTTTTATGAATGTTACACTTATTGAATTATAGAAACTAGTTTTCATATATGGATCTAACTCAAAAATTCATAGAATCCTGTCCAAGAAAAGGAAGAGGGAGAAGAGAAGAAAGAAGATTATGAAATAATAGTGCCTTCTTAAAGTCAAATAAATTAGCTGAATCCGCTCTCATTAGGTTTATCTACTCTTTTTTTATGTGTATTGATGATGCTTCTGTATCCTTTACAATTAAAGACAGCAACGTAGGTTTACCCTCTTCATTGTTTCTGCTCGTCCCCTGTAATGGAAAAGATATCATGCCATGGTATATACTATGGACTTCACAAAACTTGCCGGATTGTACATTTACGGTACTAATTTGTAGGATAGACATGCCAAAGTTGGGGTATAGTAATTAGAATGAAAGAACTTACAATCAGTTCTGGAGGCATGATGTTAGGAACAATGGTATCCTTGGCTGAAAATCTTGGATTTGTAGACTTCATGACTTCAATATGTGTTGAGAATAGGGCGGAGACCGGTCGATGATCGGAAAACTTAATTTCACTTCTTAAATAGGATAGGATTTTCACTCCTTTCCCGTACCACAGAATTCTATCACACCTGTGGACATACACATGCATCATGCTCATAGAATCAGATCTGTGTTCAGAGGCTGTGCATCTAATTTTCCTATTGCTGCTATAAGAATTTAATTCTATGAAAGTTACTTGATTAGAAAATATACCATGCTGGAGTCCTTTGTTTCTCTCCTGATCTGCTGGGAAGGCCACCACAGTAGCGATTGCAATTCGATGAAGAGTATTTATAAGTTGGTGCAAATTCGATGTTTCCCTCTGTCCAACCCTGGAACACTCCATCTTCTTGTTCCCTTCTAAGCTGATCAAACTCTTGCAGTGCTTTCCAGTTTTGCTTCTTTATCAAATTCCTAGCTAAATTGTCTTCCAAGTTGTATAACCTATAGTTGAGATCTCCGAACCAGAATATCCTACTGCTCCACAAAAATGAGGCAGGTTTTATTTCATGAATTTGGATTCTTAATCCGACAATGCATAAATTTGGATGATTTCTATCCCTAATGATATTTCAAACATTGATGTTCATTGTTACTGAAAATAATACTACCTTGTTTCGAATCTATAATAGTTGCAAGTGCTAGAAAATTTAAACTACTAGTAATTGGTAATTCTATAATCATATCCTACAAATAGGTCACTATCCCTTGTTTGTTTGTTTTGGGACCAATGTGGTTCATCCTTTATTTTGGTTAATTTATTTCATTGAAGAAGAATTACTCACTCATGTCCTAAGATGGTGAGCGGATGAAGATTATCATCATCTTTGGCTGATCGAGGAAAGGTAGTTCGCTTAAAAATCTCTGAAACCTGATGATTCCTTCTACCTTCATCGCCTTGCTTTTCACCAGAAGCCAAATGAGCAGCAACAAAACAGAAGCTGGTCCCTTCAATTAGCATGCTAACCGATACTGAACCTTTGTTTCCCAAATACCCCATGATCCCACAAGCCACTGAACTAACTTTGACATTTGAAACACAGAATTTCTTCAACAATTCCTTCTTCATCCATACACTTATGAAAACTCCAACCATCTTCTTGCTTGCCATTAGCTTGTACTTGCTGCCTCCAATGACCGGTTGCTGATGATGTCGCTGTTGAGTTATTGTCCTCCCTCTCATTGGGGTATTGTCACTTATTGCACTAAAACTTGCTCTTTTTTCTGAAACAGGAATTTCCACATAATGGTAAGTGTCACTTGAGATTGGATTCAACATGGGAGTCAACCAAGGGCGACCGAAGCTTTCATTTAGTGCTTTTCCTATTAGCAGGTTCCAATTTGTTGCTTTTTTTGGATCTTTTGCTCCGATCACTGTTCGAGTTTTAAGCGGGACAATCTCTTGAAATCTACAAGTTGAAAATTTTTTGTTTTCAGTTTGATGATTTATTCTTCTTTGGATGGTTACAGAGTCTACAATATTACATGATTTTCGGAATTATTTCATACCCTAGAACATAGATATCAACAGCATCTTGGGGTTTCAGCCACTCTTCTAAATCAACTGTCAAACTTCCTACAGGAGATCTTCCAGCAACATTCCAAGTTCCCACGAAAATCCTGAAAATTGGAGGAAAGGTTAGCTAATTCATACTTTTGATTGTTTAAGCCTTTAAATCTCACCTTAACTCATTGGTTGAAGTGCATGGATCCATATCAAACGAACTAACATAAACATCTTCCATGAAAGCATTACCTCCATCTGCAAGAAATATATCCATCACTCAGACGACCACTGAAAAACAAAACTCACAAAAAAAGAACTAAAACAAACTTAAAACCTGAAAATTCATCCTGGTTGTAACAAGGATGAGGTTGTTTCTTTTTGTGCTTCCTTTTGAACCATTTCCTAAATCTCCCAGAGCTTGACTTTGGATTCTTCTCATCCATTGTAACTCCCCAAGAAAATTTTGTCCATGCCTGAAAATATTTACCATAAAATAGGAAGCATAGTGACTAAATTACAACAAAATTAGCCCATCTTCTCCAGCTGCTTTCTTCCTGACTTCATCGATCTCTTAGTGTTTATCGCCTAATAAAGCAAATAGAAGAGCAGTTTAAAACAATGAGACAAACCCCCGAAATTTAGACATAATTTTATGTGATAATCCCAATATATTGAAGCATATGAGAAGGAGACAGGAGGGAAAAAAGGTATAAATGAAAAGTCAAGACTTTGAAGGATGATGAGAACCTTCCTTCACCTTTTATCTTTGTGTGTATAAATGAATTTCCTAAATCTCAAGAAACCAAATAAAATAAAATGAAAAAAAAATGGACCGCACAATGTTCTATCAAGAAAACCTTTTTTTGTTTGATTATTAGTTGTAACGTGGTGGTGCTGGTCACGTATATCTTTTGTATTTGTTACGTGAAAAAATTATTTCAACTCCAACTCATATAGTGATTATAATTTAGTAACCCGTTTATTAATATTATATTTTATTATAATTATATTTGAAGTATTATATATATTGTTGCCTATTTTAGTTTTTCTTCAAACATTCTCAAGTTCTTTTTCTATATCAATATTTTACTAAAATGGAACTAAATATTCCATGGGCATTATTCTTTCTCAAGTCAACTTTCTCTTCTTCTTTTTTCCTTATTTCCATTTGAAAGTTCAATTTTCTTTTGACATCTCTTATTTCCATTTGAAAGTTCAATTTTCTTTTGACCAGATGGAAGTAGCTAGTTTTATTAAAAATAAAAAATAATCAAATTACAATGAAAGTTTACATTTATAATCGTAAATTAAAACACATAAGATCACATTTTTCTATAATCATTAACACAAGAAAGTAGTCACTTAAGATCGTACAAGGTTCATATAAGGAAAGTGTTAAAAACCTAATCAATAAGCTCAAATAAAATAGATACGAACAGATCTGACTGTATTGACAAACGAACCACAAAAGGGGATTAAGCTATTGAAAGACTATTGATAAACCACAAATTAGAATCAAATGATGTAAGAAAGTTATCCACGAACATAAATCATATATCCAAATCCAATTTGATGGCTCAAAGTAAGGAAGATCAACATAATAATAAATGAGTGTCATCTTGATCAATTGTGGTGATGTCAATTCTTGTCCTGAGAAAAAGGATAAACGAAAATAACGGTCAAGTGATCAAAAACATGCCAAAAGATAGAAACATGCCATAAAGACAGAGAAAAACGTGTCATAAAGGTAGAGTTATTAAAAAAACATGTAATAATAAATATATGACATAATGAAATAAATAAAAAACAATGAATACTGATAATCGATGATCAGCACTAAGGCTAATGCTTCCGCTAGTTGCAAAGATGAAAAAGAAAAGAAGACTAATGTCCATATAAAACTAGAATTTGAGTTACATTCGTTGATATCAATTGATATCTAAAATTTAAAGTATATCTATTCGTGCAGTTTTCATATATTAAAACAAAGTATCTTATCATATTAAATCATGCAACTAATATTAACATCAATAAGAATTATTTAAATAAAACCAATGTACCAATATCAAATTCTCATGAAAAATTGCCCTATAAAATGATTGAAATAAGCAATGTAATCTTGAAGGTCGCCAATTTCCGAGTTAATTCTTTCTTTTCTTCAAACAAATTTTAAATCTAATCCTACTTAAAGGAAAGGAGAAAGAAGACTTTAAAGGGGAAAAAAAGCAAATGCTCCTAATGAGTCTATAACTCATGACCTAAGAAATATAAGAAAACAAATATGAGTAGCTTGACCAATCGATTAAATATAATTGCTCCAAATTAATTCTTTTAATTTGCTTTAGTTAAGGTTCCCGATCCTCATAATTGTAGCTTTGAAAATCAATACAATAATATAACATGTTCAATTCATATGTTATATGGATAAGTCCTATTCCCTGGTATTTTAGAAGTGCTTTTTTTCTAATTATCTTTGGAGCACATGGATAAAAGCTCTCATTTTTTCTTTTTTCTAGATTGTAGATTCTATATCCATTAGAAGTAAAATTCATTTTTTTAGGTAGAAATTGTTGGGAAAAAAGAAGTGAATTTTATTTTAATTCTATAAGTAGGATTAGGAAACATATGCTTTTTTTTTTATTTAAGTAGTTTTTATTTTTAAAATAAAATATAAGGATAGGTGCCGAATTTTAAATATTTTGGAGTTAAAAAAAAAACTAATTGATATAAATATTATTTTCATTATAGGTTTTTAATGTGTTTAACAGTTTGATTAGTATTTACATTTCTTAAAGTCAGCATGAAAAAAGTACAATAAATATTTTTTTTGAAACAAAATACAATAAATATTTGACATTGATTTTTTAAAATACATATATTGTTGAATCACCAAAGATTTGAGTCTCGATCACAATCAGTCCAAATGGGCAGCATCGGCCCATATCAGTTATGACTATAACGCCAGTTGTGTGGTTTGTTTTGGATATCATATCATTTCATGACAAAAGAATCATGGTTACACGTGATTTGTGCCTTGTCATCCTCATTATTTTTATTGACATTTTCACCCTTTAAACTTTAAAAAAAATGTTTTGGGATTTTAACTTTTTTTCTTTATATAAATTATTATTTTGAATCATGAATATTAAAAAATTATAATTAATGTTATAAACATAATAAAAATATAATGTAACAATATTATAAACAAAATTTTATGCAGGATATGCTTATGATATACAGGATATGTTTATGATAGTTTATAACTCATTTTGGCATGTATATGCAAATGTGTTTGGTAATGGCATGGATTGCATATGAAATTTATAAATCCTTGCATGTTTAATTTGTAAATGTAGTCAAAACTTATTATATGGTATGTATATAATTTGTTGATTGCTTGGGATACGAGTATTAGATAGTTTAGGAACCTTTGACATGCTTAAATGACTTATAAGTTGCATTTAAAGTCAATGGCGGACACGTTTAATTTACTCATCTTGAAATTTAAATTTTTTTTATTAGTTATTTATTTTATTATTTATGTCTATTCTAAAATTTTATTTATGTCTACTCTATAAAAATTTTGTATGATTAATATATAATCTCACCCTAAGAAATATTTCTGAATCTGTTAATGTTTAAAGCATAAAAATAAGGATGACGTGTTAAACTTTGAAGTGGTGTTTTAAGCATAAAAAATACGGATGACGTGTTAAACTTGAAGTGGTCAAAAATGATTTTTTAATTTTAAATACGTATGATTTTTTAATTTGAAATACCTATAAAAGTTATTTTCAATGATTAAAACTTATTTCAAATGGTTGCTTAGGGTCTAAGGCATGAAACTTGAACGTTTTGCATTTCTATAATTGAAAGCGAAATCCTGGAAAATTTCAGGAAACGAATAATTTTTTTTTTTTGAAAAAAAAAAATCTCTCTTTCACTAATGACTGGAAAAGGATTGATCTTTTTAAAGATTTTGGTTACTGACTTAAAAATATCGGGATCAGTTAAAATTATAGCGCCTTAATTTAAGATTAATTTTAATCAATCGGAAATTTTATTAAATAGAGTACTTTTTTAAAATAGTACAATCAAAAATGTTATAAATGTTATCAACTTTATATATTTTTTTAACATTTTCGGTTAGTAATTGGAAGTGCTTTGTTACCATTTATCAACCTAAAATTAGTAAAATTTCTAGTTGCAATCTAAAATGTGATCTAAGTTTCTAAATTGGTTCCAACTTAATATTGATGTTATTTTAGATTGCGACATGGAATGTTACTAAACATATAACATTTTTAGTTTGCAACATGAAATGTTACCAAACATATAACATTTTAGGTTGATGCTGGTAACATTTCATGTTTCAACCTAAATTCTTACATCAGTTTTTTATCTTACCAAGTTGAATATATTTCACGACAAGTATCGAAACTTAGACTTTAAATTTCAATACTTACCAAAAAAAATAAAAAAAATATATATATATTTATAACATTTTAAGTTAGAAATAATAATTATCGAACCTCAGAGAATAAGTTTCAATACTTACCAATTCAACCTAAAATATTATATATATACATATATATATTGGTAACATTTTAGGTTTTCTTTGTAAGTATCGAAATGTGAGATATAATCAACCTAGATTTTTAGATTGAAACTAGAAATGTTATCAAAAACATATAATATTCTAGGTTGAATTATGTAAGATTTTAGGGCGCAACTTAAAATGTTCTGTATACCAAAACAAAGTATGTAAAAGTGATATCATTTTAGATTATAAATTATAGGTATCAAAACTCATATAAAAATAAAAAGGTTTGATATTGTATTATGTTGAAACCAACTTAAAACTTAGATAATATTTTCGATTACAACCGAAAATATTGTCAATATATACGACATTTTAGGTTGATAACCGGTACCTAATAAAATCGATTGCGTCATTTTTTAACCCTAGTTTTAGATGCAGCACAACATGCTCACCCAAATGATCGATACTTAGAAATGTTCCATTTTTTTTACCTAAATGTATTTCAAACAAGTGGAATTAATCTTTTTAAGTTTATTTAATTCATTTAAGCTACAAATTGGTAGAATCAATTGGATAAGGCTGTATTTGTTATTAATGTATGAATACAACTCGAATGTTTGCAAAATGATCTGTATTCGAACGGTCTGTCTATAGGGTATGTATTTGTCAATAATTAAAAAAGATTTTAAACATATACTACTTATTTTAAAATCACCTTAAACTATTAAAAAAAAGTTAATCTTTAATAGAAACCCATATTCTTTCTCATTTGCTAGTTGAAGGGAATATATATATATATAAATCTGTAAAAGGTTTGTTATCTTTGTTCTATGTTACATTTCTCTATCTTTATATTAGTTATTTAGCTAGGCTTTTTCATTGGGAAAATGTAATAAAACTGCAAAGTGTGATGAGTTTCTCGTGCATAAAAAATTGATTAAATGAATGAGTTGGACCAAATTCAGTTGGATTATCACCGGACTTTGAAAACAAAACTATTTACTGGGTTGATGTGTTTCTTGTTCAAATCACTTTGTTTTCTTCCATTTCTTGCATCCGAAGCCAAATGCTGCCTAAACATGGCAATGAAAGCATCCACTCTCTCATTCAATTCCTCCTTTGACAGCTTTAGAGCCTCAATATTCTCCTCTTCTTTTTCAACCACCAACTGTTTCTCTACTATTTCCTCACTTTTGCTTCTTTTCTTTGAATTGGTGACCTCATCTTGATGGAGATGATCTTCCTCTTTACATACTTCATCTTCATTCAAACCCCCACTTGTCTTCTTCGTTTCTTCATCTTTTTTGTTGATTTCTTGCTGACGACTTGAGTTTGGGTTCATGGAAGTGAAAAAGATAGCCAAAAGCACCAGGTTTAACACTAGAAACACCCAAGCCCGCCATTGTTGAACGAGAAACAACAGTAAAGGACGTTTCAAACATACCACTAAAACAGCTATGCCTGCTGTAAACAAAGCTGTGTTCACATTTTCTTTCTTCCCCTCCATACTTTCTCTTCTTCTTTTTGCTTGAAAAATCTTGGCTTTTTTAACCTTTTACCTTTTGGAGATGAACAAATTGACGACATATTATAATGGGAAATCAGAATGACCTTGAAATTAGGGTGAAAATGGGAATCCTCTGGCTCCACCAGCTGTGAAAACCAGAGGCAAAACATGGCATGGGAAGGGCTAGGGGGACAAGAAAACATAGACATAAACACTTTGTGGTAACAATAAAGTCAACTTATGATTGCTACATTTTAAGATTTAGTTATGTAAGTTTGTGTATGTTAGGGCTCGGCGTGCACACCAGTGGGCCTAAAATCATGTTTCCAACAGCTTTTGCTCTTTGTTTTTAAGTATATCAATGGAGTTGTGAAACATTCCACTGTCCGATGTATCAATTTTTCATTATCTTAAAGGTAAACTATGCGTTTAATAACTAAACTATCATTTTCGATCTGTTTTAATATCTAAACTTTCAATTTTTTCAAAATCTTACCTAACGTTTAGTTTTTGTTTCATTTTAATATTATGTCATTAAAAACTTAATATGAAGTTTTTAATTAAAAAAAAGACCAAAACTGATAGTTTAGATGCTAAATGTGTAGTTTACCTTATCTTAAATAGATATAAACAAATTTGATTTTTTTTACAATATATGATATTGTGAGATATTGATTGGTTAATATGAATATAATATTATAAAAATTCATTACAGAGATGACACTCTATCCAACTCACATTATTCACAGCGTTAAGACTTGAATCATGAACGTTGTTTAAAAGATTTAACGTCTCATCTTTCTAAATGAACTGATAGTTAGCATTTGACATTATCTTCTAAATTTGAGTAACATAACTTTTATTCTCTCTTTTATCGTGCATGGGGGAGTAATTGAGTTGAGATGAGTTCAAATTGTAAGGAATTGAATTCAAAATATAAAATTATATTTAAATTTAATCGAATTTCATTTTTAAAACTTGATTCTTATGTTCAATTTTAAACTTAATTACTCAACGTGAGTTCGAATTGATGTTCATCAAATGTTAATTGAAAAGATAATTAAACTCGTGAGAGTAAGCACATATGAATTTGGAAAACATAATCATTCTCTTTCATCTTGCATGTTTTACAAACACGTGAAATTATTAATGAAATGGGAAACAAACCATAGTGGATAATGGATAGAAGAGACGTTGGTAAAAATGGTGTAATGTAGTGAATAGAAAATATGAAATAATTGGAAGTTAAATCATATAAAATTTAGGTTAAAGTCTACTTAAACTCCCTTCTATTATACTCAAAAATTCATTTTAATCCATCTATAATTAGAAGGAATATTTCATCTCTATATATTTGAAGAAGTGAATATTTCAATCAAAATTATTAATCTAGCTTTAGTCCCTATACATTTTTTAATCTTAACATTGCATGTTTTAATGGATTTCTGAATTTGTGAATTAAATGCATGTAAAAGTGTTTCTTTTAAGTAATCGTGTATTATAGTGAAGGGGAATGATCGGAGAAAAGTTTTGAGATAATTTTAAAATAGAAAAGATTTATTGATATATTTTAAACTAGAATCAAATTGATACAATGTTTAAGTATTAGGGATTAAATTTTTATTATACTAGGTCATCACCATTTTTGTCAAATCAACAATCTAACCTAATGACAGAAGATCAAAACAAAAACAAAATATAATGTTAGATATGTTTTTTTATAATAGTTAAGTGACCAAAATTAAAATAAATAAATAGATAAGTGATCAAATAGATAGTTTAGCCTACAAGAATAGGGTAAAGTACATAGGTCCATCAACTATAGGGTCTCGCTCTTTTGAGTCACCAAACTATTAAAAGTTACAAAATGTTCTTCCAATTATATGTCGTTGCTTTGTTGAATCTCTTGACTATTAAAGTTACAAAATAGTCACCCACATATTCATATGTTCCAAACTCATCATTTTTTTGTGAAAAATTGACGGTCATCTGAGCTAGACGTTATCATGTTGATTGGTATATGATAGTTGTTTGAGATTTTGATATCAGATTTTAGCATATCTCAGTCAGCAGGTTAACGTTCAGCTCAGATTGTTGTCATTTTTCATGGAAAAAGACGAGTTTGGAACATATGAATAGTTGAGTGATCATTTTGTAACTTTTAATAGTCAAGGTGCTCAACAAAGAAACGCCCTATAATCAGATAACCATTTTATAACTTTTAATAGTCGAAGGATTCAACAAGTAATGTTGTATAATCTGGAGACCATATGTGTTTTTACCCCCAAAAAATAATACGGTGCGTTGCGTAGAACCGAAATTTCAAATTAAAAAAAGTTGGAAACCGGAGTGCGTTTTTAGAAGCAAACACAGAGAAAAGGGGGAGCAGATTTTTGCCGGTTGATGACAGTAACGATTGAGTTCGGGAACGTCAAGCTGCTTAGCACGCCTTGTTTTTTAAATACCACTTCATCATCATACGAAAATGACCCTACGTTTCCCATTTCTCCATAATTACTATCATTTAAAATTAATAATATATATTAAACATATTTTTAAAATTAAATTTAACATAATTTCTTTTATTGGTATTTTTTCATTTTTAATGGTTTTTTTACTCTTTTTTATCTATCTTTTGTTTAGACTTTAAATTGTTGCTTTCAAATATTCACAAAATCACTTCAGATATATTACTTTGATTTGTAAAAATCAGTTATCATTATAGTTATTTTTATATTAATGTTGATAGTATTTAACTATCATCACCAATAATGACATTGTTTGTATCTTTATTCCTTCTCGTAGCTTATATCGTTTGACCATTGTGTTCATTCTCTTCAGGTTTCCTCTTTTTATATTTAGTCGGATCTTACGTTTTCTATCTATATGCAGAGATTTTACGCAAGGATTTATTTGCAGAGATTACTCCCCATTACAGACGAGCATATTGAAGACTACATAGGAAGACTTTTCAACTATGTATTTAGTTATTTATTTATTTATACATGTATTGTATTTTATCTTTATTTTTAATTTTCTTCCTGCCGGAGGTCTTCCACGAAAGCTACTTTCAATCCTGGCGTTGGGGGCAGCCTACTACCCTACCTCCCCTTATCCCATTGCATATGGAAATATGGTTTTGTTGTTGTTGTTTGTATCTTTTATTTTTTGAATTGTTCTATTGGTTTTTTTAATATTTTCTTACATGGTCATATTTAATTTATATCATTTAATGATATAATTAATATGCTATGATTTTTATTTACTTTTTATTAAGATTATGATTTTATTATATTTTGTCGTTATGTATTCAATAAAATTAATTATTATTGTTAATTAAATAATAACATTATTCAAAAATAGTAATTATCAAGTAAAATTAAAACGAACACATTATTATGTAAAGTAGTTATTTTTTATTCCAGTAGTGCTCTGTTACATTTTACTCTTACATTTAACGGTTATCAAAAATACTTTGCGTCAATGGCAGTGGTGGTAGCTTTTTCTGACCATTCTCTTGTCATTTGACTCATTCTATCCTTCATTTTCTTAGGTCTAGTGGCAGGGGTGTGTTTTAAGATGGTTTAATGGTTGTTTTTTGGGTCTAGGGCTCGAATAGAATGTTTTTTGGGGTTGGTTTACTATGGCCAGCACCAATTTACAACGACTGGATAAGTGCTCACGGTGGCCGGACAGTGATCGCTGACAACCCTTTCCCTTTTTCCTCTAGGTTAGAAGAAAGAGGGGAGGGCTTTAGGAGCTTTTCTTAGAGAAGGTAAAAATTACCCCACATAGATTTAAATTAAGGTGGTGTCACTTATTTGCAAGATTGATTTATGGAACGCCTCCGAACACCTAGAGTATCCTTCCGAGATTTACTCGAGCGAGACGGTATCCTTTTCATTCCTAAATATTTTTATATTCTATATAGTATTATATATATATAAATACATTATTTTTTATTTAATTAAGGTACTACTCTATTTTTTTAAGATTAATCTATGGAATGCCTTCAATACCTAGAATGTCCTTCTAAGGGTTATTCGAGTAAGAGGATATCTTTTTATATACTATATATATATATATTCGATTGTAAATTAAGGCAATGTCTTTTTTTGTGAGATTAATCTATGAAACACCTCTAAATACCTAGATTGTCATTATGAGGATTATTCAAACAAAGGGATATCCCTCCCATTCTCATAATTAAATAAAAAGAAATTATTTCCATAAAAATTAAATTATTTTTTTTATGGGTTAATGTCTCGAACGAAATATTATATGTGGGAAAATATTCAAATACTTAGAGTGTGATTCCTTAAGACGCATGACTGAAAAAATATCCTATTAATTTCAAATTAATAAGGTTAGTAGTTGTGTGCAAGTTTATCTGTTAAAATTAGTATATCATATTTGGTATTTTATTCATTATATAGGTGCCAATTATTATTGTTGCATTCATTAATCGTACATTTATTTTCTCATTTTCAAAATAAGAGGCAATGTTGCTTTATATCGTAAGTTAATAGAATCGTATCCAACATTACTGTGTGACTGTCACACCCTGACTAATATTTTTTCCTAAAATAAAATATGGACTAAAATGTAATTCATTAAAGTTTAAATTAAAGTCATCATGTGGAGAAAGTTTAAGTACTTAAATCAAAATTTTACCTTGTTGGGATAAGGTGGATACGCAATACCACATACCTGGAATCGTCCTATTTTACACATACCCAAAATAGTAAACTACTTTCTCTCCCATCACTTTCTTTGAAAAGCTTCATTCTCTCTTTTCATCCTCGTTTCATCGTTGATAAGCCGTCCATTTACGGTATTGTCGGTATCATTGCATTCCTCGTCATTTTTTGAGTCGACTAATATTCTCAGATTTGTCGTCGTCGTTAACGTGTGGAGGGATGAGAAGAGTAAAATTTTGACCATTCGAATTTTGACATTTTCATCGTTCTTCGTCGCAAAATAACAGTGGTAAGAGACTCCCAAACCTTGAATTTCATTTTATAAAAAAATTAGTGAAATTTTGATCGTCGCAGCCGTCGCACACACTTCATGTGTCGCCCTTTCTACATGGGGTTGTCTAGCAGACAAGAGACCTTCTAGAATCGGTATGAACCGGTCTAGACCACTTGAATCGGTACAGTCCAATCCGAGCCGATCAAGCCGAGCGACCGAGCTATTAACCGAGTTGAACCAAGCAGTTGACCGAGTTGAGCCAAGGTGTTGACTGAGCCTTTGATTGAGTTGAGCCAAGCCATTGACTGTCATTGAACGATCATTGACTTTTTTTCGGGAACATCTATCCTAACGTTTCAACGTCCAGAGTTCTTTATTGAGGTATGTTTCACCAAATTCGAAGCCAATAAGTTGTTTTTCAATGTTTTATATTTTGATTCGATCCGGTTTTCAAGTTTAAGTTCCATTTATGATGTAATCTGTGGTGCTATGTATCCGAGATATTGTGGGACGACGAACACGAGTTCAAGAGTGATCGAATGGAGTTAAAAATATTTTAAAATTTGTTTAATACTATTTTATATTATTTTAATAAAATATTAATTATTAAAATATTTAAAATAATGTTGATTAATATTTTTAATATTATAGCTTTCAATATTATAATAATATATTTAATTATATTATAATAATATTATTTTCCCCTGAAGCTTCATGCTTAACATGTAGTTAAAAAATTAGTGTAATTTTTTTTAATAATATCAACAATTATATACATGACTTTAAGGTAATTATTTTTCTTTAAAAATTTTCAAATAAAATAAAATAATGTACCCCGAATTATATAACACTAAAAAATAATTTCTAGAAAGTATTTTTAAAATATATAATTTATTTTCAATGAAATAAATTGAGCTTAGAAAAACAACAAGAAGCTAAAATTAGCCCAAAAAGGAAGAAGTGAGACCTAAAAGCCCAAACAAAGTATTCAGCAGTTCACCCTATTACAATTCCCATGTCCCAAACGCCGCGTTTCAATCTAGGGTTTGTCCCAATTAGATCTATAAATAAGCAGGCATGCACTGCTCGTAGCCATCATCTTCACCTTTTATCTGTATTCTACTTGAAGGGTGTATCATGTTCCCCCTTTCTTGCTTTCAAATCTAGATTCTGGGTTTTCTATTTTCATGAATTTTATTCTGTTTTATTGTTTCATCGATCATGTGAAGAGAAACTAAAACTGCAACAATAATATTGGATATAATTCCATGATTACTTGTATTTAAGTCTCTGATGGTCGTTCTTTCCATGTCTTCTTTTCAACATTCTCTGTAAAATTTCTTGGGATTTTTGAGATATGATGAGGTTCTAATTGGTCCGTGTTTCTGATTTAACCGTGAGCGACATTTTTTAACCAAACTCTGATCTCAAATTTCATTGCCCAAGTTTTTTTTTGAAAAGATGTATTCTGTTTTTTGATGTATTTTGTAAGTAATGGAATTAGCTCCGTGATTAATAGCCTAACGTGGGCAATATACGCTATTCCGATCTCTAGAATAAATGAGCAGACGACTTTGGGAGAAGGAATGAGAGCTAATTTTTTACTCTTAATTTTGAGTATTTTTTTGTTTCTTCAAATGCTCAGCCGTGATGAAGTATGAATAAAATCACATGTCAGACTTCAGAGATTTTTCTAAAATCTATGAGAAGAAAATTCATATTTTCTGAGCACAAGTTTGATTTGTTATTCATTAAAAGAAATCTTAGCCTTTCTGGGTTGCTAAAGGTGTTTTCGCCTGTTAATTCCCGCCATTTATTAATCTAATAAGCCACTGTGGTCCGTTAATGGTGGCCTCAAACAGACAATAATTTTACATTAGAATTGGCCTACTTTAGAAATTATATATGAACCTTACGCAGCAATCGTGTGGGAAATTACCAACTTGCTCGAAATGTCATGTAGTAAAATGGGCTTTTGTCATGTATGGTTGGGTTTGTTTATTGAATGTTCCTTATTTTCAAAATGGTGATCGATAAATAATATTTTTTAGGTAACATTGTACCTTAATCATCGTCTCTATAAAAAGTTAAGATGACATCGTTATTAATCATTTCAAATAAAGAGTTTGTGATGATTGGGAAATATGGAATCAAGTCTCCTCGACGTGTATTTTGATGCTTGTTTATGCCGGTTTTGAACAGTTTATCCCTCATCATTTTCAACTCTATTGCGAATTCACTTTTGCCGAGTTGATGGTGCTGGCGAAGTTTCTAAGGCATTTACGTTGAATGATAGCCGATCTGTAGTCCTTACCACGAATTATAACGAGAAGTAACTGATGAACTTCAATTGGCTAAAGTTTGAACAATCCGAATCAGAATTGCTGAGGCTATCAAAGGAGCAAGTTGAGCAATGTACCGTTTGAACACCCCGCAACATTTGATGCTTTAACAGTGGATGTCAACTTGAAAGACGAAATAAAAAACGATTTGATCAAGTTTAGCACCGCTAAAGATTACTCTGCTACAATTGGGAAGTCTTGGAAACGTGAATATGTTTTTTATGGTCCTCTTGGTATTGGAAAATCTTCGATGATTGCGGCGATGGTGAACCAAATGGAGTAGATGTATATTATCTCCAGCTCATTGCGGTGAATGAAAATGCGGAATTGAGATGGCTCTTTCGAGGACATTGATTGCTCTTTCGACGGTTATATTTTGATCATTGAGATATTAATTTTGAGTTTTACATCGTGTTAATTAGCATTGACCAGAATCTTTGATGATAATTTTTTTTGGTACACCGAAAGAAAACATAATAGACTATTGTCTCAACTAGAGATTTCTTTTTCTTGAAGCAGAGCAAGATTTTCCAGCTTATCAGCACATTTATTTCCTTCACGCCAGGCATGTCGGACTTCTACAACCCAACCTTCCTCCAGGATATTTATGCAATCCTTAATCATGTCAGACTTTTACATCCCAACCTTCCTCCAGGATATTTATGCAGTCTTTAACCAGCTCAACTGATATTTCTACCATCCTTTCACCTTTCAAACAATCCACCACCTATTTTGCATCTATCTCAAGGATTACATTTCTTAATCCCAGATTTTTTTTGCTAACACGAGACCCTATCGAGCTCCCCAGATTTCAACGAACAAGCTATTCACGTTCCCCAAAATCATCATGAATCCACTCTTCCAGTCGCCATTGTTATCCCGGATCAGTACACCTGTAGCAGCCAAATCTGTATTAGATTTATACACACCATCAGTATTTAAAATTCATCTTCCCTCAATTGGTTTTTCCTATTTAATCCAGCATGGATCATTTGTCATCCTTCTCTGAGAGGCTGTCTACGTTTTTCTCATATCTCTGGCAAATTGTTTTGCATAACTTGTCACTTTAAACGGATCAACTCTTCCTTCTTTGAACACTCTTTCATTTCTATTTTTCTACAGCCCCCAAATGGCTGCCAAGAATAAAGGACCCCATTCCAAACCATCAATCTTGGTTTTCTTTTAAAGGCAGTTTTTTTCAGCCACTCTTTAAATTCCAGCGAATCGAATTAGTTGTCATGTTCCCTTGCTTTTAGTTCTTCCCAGACCCTTATAGCTATGGGGCACATCCATAGAATATGATTTACAGATTCAACTTCATTTCGGCATTCTTTGCAATTTGAATCTCGTGTCATGCTTTTCTTGCTTCTAACTTCATTTGTATTGAGCTTGTTTAAATAAGATAGCCAAACAAAGAACCTGGTTCTCTCGCTAGTATTTGTTTTCCATATCCACTTTAAATTTTCTCCATATTGCTCACCCATCTCCTTGTTAGACACTGCTTGATAAGCTGATGTGACCATAAACAGTCCGTCTTTTGAGAAACCCCAAATAATTTTGTCCATTTCCTGATAGTCGGTCAAGATTGGGATCTAAACTTTTATTATCTCCTTTCTAGTTTCTTTAGAGATCAGGTGTTGAATTCCTTGGATATTCCACGAACTGTCCTCATCGATGTATCTCACAACTTCTTCGTTTCTACTAGGATTATCAATAAGCGAATATAAATTCTTCAAAGGTTCCTTTTTGACCCACCAGTCCTACCAGAGCAATTTCCATTTACATCCTTCCTTGAGCAATTTTCCAGTGCTTAGCAATTCTCTCCAAGTGGAAGAACTATTTCCTCTTGATTCTATCTCTAGGAACTCCCTATCCTTAAGATATTTTCCTGTGAATACTTTGCACCAAAGACTCTGGTCTAGTGAGTAATTTCTAGCTATTCTTGCCATAAGAGCACTGTTCATGGATCTAGTTTTACGCAGACCAAGTTCACCCATCTGCTTTGATCGGCAAACTTTTTCCCAGCTCAGTAGATGATTATGCACATATTCAGTGTCTCATCCCCACAAGAAATTGGTATTTAATCTGTCCAATTTCTTACAGACAACCACTGGAAGATTAGTTGTTTGCATTGTATGGATTGGGATTGCATTTGTGACAGCTTGGATGAGAGTTCTTCGACCGATCATGGATAGTACTCGTCCTTTCAAACCATCTAATTTCCTCATGACCTTATCTATAAGAGAAGCATAAGTTCCTGCATTGACCCTATTATGGATTATTGGAACTCCCAAACAGGTTCCTAAATCATCCGTAAGGGGAATACCACACAAATCACTTAAGTCTCTAGCCATATTTGAGTTAATATTTGGGGAGATAATTTTTTTTTGTAAGTTTACCTCAACTCCAGCTGCTCGGCTGAATTCATGTAGACAACTTCAAATAATATTCATTTGATCAGATTTAGCTTCTGCAAACAATAAAATATCATCAGCAAAAAACAAGTGACTTAGTTTAATTCCTCCTCTAGAGCACTTAAAAGATTTCCATAAACCCTTTTATTCCTTCTCCAATATCTGTGATTTCCCCATTCCACAACGGCTCAATAGTGCTAGACATGATGCAGAACATTATGATCTTTATAAGTTTTTCAGGAAAATTAAAGTCCTGTAGAGTTTTCTTAAGGAATTCCCAACTGACATTATCGTAGGCCTTTTGGAGATCTATCTTTGCTATAACCGCACCCTTCCTACCTTTAAGATTCATCATGGAATGGGTCGCTTTCTGAACAACCAAAATATTTTCCGTCGTGTTTCTTCCTTTAAGAAAGCTATTCTGGTAAGGGTCGATTAACCTTTGCAGTAGAGGACGCAAACGATGAACAATTATCTTGGAAAAGATTTTATATGATGTATTCAATAAACTTATAGGTCAAAACTGAGTAATGTTGCCAGCAATAGCCTTATTAGGTATAAGCACCATGAAAGTTTTCAATATTTTAGTATCCATCCTTCCCACCTCCATAGCCGTATTAACAAAGTCTCGTATAGTATCCTTCAGTGTCCCAGTTCTGTTTATAAAAAATGGGTTGAATGCCATCGAGGCCCGGAGCTATCAATCCCTTCATGGAGAACAAGGATTCTCTAACTTCAACCATTGTGGCATGATTGATTAATTCGGTCTTATCGTCTTCACTTAATCTGGGCATAAAACTATCATAATCTGTTGAGAGTTGTTCATACTCTTTTCCTGCGAACAACTCTTTATAGTACATGTAGACGTGATTGCAAAGAGTTTGCTTTTCAGTAATCTATTCATTTCCTATGTATAAACCCACTATTTTATTATATCTTCGCCTCACCATTGCGGTAAGATGAAAGAACTTAGTGTTCATTTCACCTTTCAAAATCCAGTCCAGTCTAGTTTTCTGGAACCAAATGATTTCCTCTTGATTTAATACTTGTTGATATTCAGCTTCGAGGGCCATTTCCAACTCTTGAAGATAAGAAGAATATAAATAATTTGAAGATCTTTGAATACCTTGAATCCGTTTCATCAAGGTTTTCTTACGTTTAAAAATGTTACCAAACTTAGTTTACTTCCATTCAACAATGACATTCTTCGTTTCTTCCACCGCATTGACAAGTGAATCCTTTTTCTTATCCCAGACTGAACTAAAAACTGTCTTGAATTCTTCATAAGTAAGCCAAGCTGCTTCGAATCTGAATGGGCGTTTCTCTCTGTCAATTGGAATTCCCAAGTCTCTGTTAAACAAGGATCGGGTTGTGATACGATTAGAATCTAGTTAAAGTAACCACTCTGAGATTTGGAATAGTTCCACCATATCAGTATTCTGAAGCAATCGATCAAGCCTTTCATGAAGCGTAACTCTCCCATGAAGGTGTCTAGTCCAAGTAAATTTACTGCCCACATACCCTGTATCCATAAGATTACACATATTCCAGCGTTCCCGAAACTTTAAGATGTGTTCCATACAGTCTGAGTTTCTACCAACACATTCATCAATCGTAGCAAAATCATTGAAATCTCCCACCAACATCCAAGGTTGATTTACGTTCATAGAGTAATTGTAAATATTCTCCCAAAACTCCTCTTTTTTATTCGAATATGGTTGAACATAGACAATAGAGAGCAACCACCTCTTACCATTCTCATGGATTTCGACATGAATAACTTGATCAGTATGTTGCCGAATCATAATATCATGTTGACTTGTGTTCCACATGAGAACCAATCCTCCCTAGAGGCCTTGAGCAGGGACCTCGAAATGATGGATGGGATTTCATCCCGAATCAAATCCTTACAGTTTTTTCTCTAGCACAGAACCAACGCCTGCCTTAGCTTTTGTTTCCAGTAGACAAATGATGGATGG